CTTTACAACATCAACAAGGCTTCAATATTATACAAAATTATTTGTTTTTAGCAAAAATTTCCCTGTAAAACATTTTCTTTTTTCATGCTCTCTTTCATTTGATATGTCACAAGTGGTACCTTGCTATTTAACAAAATTAAGTTGGGGGCAGGGGAGGAAAGGGGGGGAATGTGAATGTAACGTTGAATTAAAAAAAATTGGGCCCCCTACGTCAATAGATGATTCCCGCAAACTATTTCTATCTATTGCGGTTTTTACATAAATATAGATGCAAGTTAAAAAAAAAACACCCTGTATAGGCCTATTGATAAAATTTGGCAAATTTATTTATTTCATCCTTATACTATTGAAGTATGGTCAAACAAAACTTTTTACCTTCCCCGTAGCAGCAAACCTAAGCACTCATTAAATCTAATGTTATTTAAATAGGGAATAAATATGTCTTCTTTATGGAAATATTTTAGTAAAAATGTAACATTCGCCTATTGGGTCTGATGATGAATGGAGTGTCCAATCGAAATTGATTACCACTTACCATCTTTTTTAGCGAATTTCCCTATAGGGAATAAGCTATTACCGTAGGTCTCATGGTAAGACTTAGTCCCGGGACCGATTTACTTTTTCATTTTGATGTTCCTAGAAGCCAAAAACACCATCCGTTCAAATTCATATATATATATATATATATATATATATATATATATATATTTATATTTTTATATATTTATATATATATATATATGTGTCCGTCAGCACGATAACTCGAGCAAAAATGGTCCGATTTCGATGAAATTTGGTACAAACGTGGTACCTACGTTTATTCAAACGAGTTCGCGAGCCAGCATGATCGGACCATGGAAACGGGGTTTTATGGGGTAAAAATTGGTTTTTCTCATTTTTGACCCTCAAAACATAAAATTTCCCAAATTTCTTCAAGACCATTTTGAAGAGCTTAAAAAAACAAATAATTCAGTATATTGAAGTGTTTTTGTATGGTTATTGGTTACGGAGAAAATTATAAATTAAAAATTCCCATGTTATTCTTATGGAGAATAAGTAAACTTTTGTAGTTTGCTTGTTTATGCATATATTTGGATCAAACTTGGCCAATCGATTTATTTTATACTAAGCTGTTAATATTTTACTGAAAAACTCACTTTATTACCCTGTAGGCAGCAAACCTAGGTACTCGTTAAACCTAATGTTATTTGAATAGATTTAATTTAATTGAAAATCAAATCAGGCAAATGGAAATTCGCTTAGTCTGCAGGTTTGCTGCGGCGGGGGTTTGTATATTTACTGTCTTGTGAGTAACAGTATAAGCGTAAATATATGTTTTAAGTGTTATAAGACGTTTCTTTTATTTACTTTCCGTAAAAATGTAATCAGACAAGTTGAAATTTGCTTAGTCTGCAGGTTTGCTGCGGCGGGGGTATTTATGCTTCACACGAAGGTTGTATTTAAAATCGGACATTTCCATGGTTTAAGGGTAAATATGGGGAAAACCATAATTTGGAAAACCAACTTTATGGTAAGCTGTTGATTACGATAAACAATAAACCAATAACAAAAATAGAATATTTTATTTTAATTAATACCAGTGGATAAACAATGTTATGTTGTTTATTCATTAGGTGTATAAATATATAAGCTTTGACTATTACAACAAACTTCAGTATCCAATACACAATATAATGATATGTTTTAGCATGGATAAAACATACTCGGTTTAGGTGTACCATGACGTGAGTCCATCTGTCTATACAGCTGTCCATGTGAAAAGAATGCCATTTTATAAATTTTAACCAGCAGTCAGGGATGCCCTTGTGCCTTATTAATGGTGATTGCGAGAGCAAGACGCAAAGGAAATTGCAGTCGCTTGAAATCAAAGGGTAATTCGGATGAAATCATCAATATTTCTTGGGATCAAAACTATTTCCCCTTTGAACTTGTTAACCACTGATGATTGTTGCTTCGATTAAGTTTCATTTCATTTTTTTAATCGTCAGTCTGGTTCCGTTGCACAGCTTGGGTGAATTTAAGTTTCATTAGCATTATTATTGGAGTTCCTTCTTTTAATGAAGTAAGTGTGGTGCCATTCCTAAAACGAAAATGTAAATTGGTCCTGGGTCCAGGTCTTACCATTGAGTACTACGGTAATAGCTTATTCCCTATATGGGAAATTTGCTGATAAAAATTGGGCATTTTCATGTTTTAGGGGCAAAAATTTGGAAAAAACAAAATTTTAAAAATGTAAAAAATCCCCAACAACACTTTGTTCCTATGACCCAATCTTCTGGTTCACAAACTCATTCAAGTTTATCCAGCCAAGTGTTATCAAAATTGGACCAAAATTACTCAAATAATTGCGTCCACAGATGTAGCCTCTGGGGACATCAAAATGAGTAAATCAGTCCAGGGTCTAGGTCTTACCACAGTAATAGCTACTTCCCTATAGGGAGATTAGCTAAAACAATGGAGGTAGGTAGTTGGTTAGATGACAATCTTTACCTGAAAACCTCTTTTCAACCTTGAAACTCATCAACTTATGACATTTGGCACTCTTTGTGAAAGTGTATTATTTTTTAAATGTATAAATGAGGAGAGTTGTTTTGCAAAATGAAAGTAGTCACTGTAATGAGAAATACTACAATAATAATGTGAATTACTTATTCAGCAAACAACTTTCCCATAAACATAATTTTTAAGCCTTTTGATTTTCAGCAGCAATACTGTAGACGAGAAGCTACAGTATTTTCAAAATCTGATACTGAAGCTTGTTGATTGTTTTGCAACTCTCGATCATTTTAAGTTCCCGACTTCGTCTCAAACTTTAAAACTATCTCGAGCCGGCCAAACCTCACTTTTGGCCCTAGGTACAAAATATACTATTACACGCTCCGGTGTAATGGCAAAAATATTTCATTGATACACTGAAATCTTCTTTCTTTTCAGTGTATCAATGAAATATTTTTGCCATTACACCGGAGCGTGTAATAGTATATTTTGTACCTAGGGCCGAAAGTGAGGTTTGGCCGGCTCGAGATAGTTTTAAAGTTTGAGACGAAGTCGGGAACTTAAAATGATCGAGAGTTGCAAAACAATTTCGGTCCATGGTACGAACGCTATTTTTCACCACACCATACCCTATTACCACTATTCACCACAATAATAATGTACACAGATAGTCAACACAACTACAACTTTCAGGTTATGTGAAGAAATAATTTGAGGAATCAGAAAAAATTATTATAAATAGTTGCTAGGCAGCGGTGAAAATTTAAAAAAAATTCTATTACTTATTGTGTATTTAATATGCATTTCATGTTTTAACCCTTTGAGTGCCAACGTCCGGGGAACCGGACGTTTTTAAAACGAGCCAAAAGTGCCAACGTCCGGCTGACCGGACGTTTCGTAATGATCGAACAGTTGTCATAACAACCGAATGGATACTCGGATTCTTTTAACCCATATATTAACATTGAGTCGAAAGTTACTAGATGCGATACATCGATTTTCGTTGGTCGAAATATCAAAAATTCGATTTTTACGAAATTTTACCCTTAAAATCGCCAGATCGCGCTCGGCATTTTTAGCGCGACCTTCGGGAAAAATCATCGGCATTTTTTTAGCGTTACTTTTATTTCTCGCCTGGCACTCTAAGGGTTAAGAAAGTAAGCGGGCAGCTGATTTTGCAGCCCTAGGGATATAAAAACCTGCTCGGTCCCCAAATGACGATGACAGATGGCATGGCCAGCAAGACATAACTTTCAGCCACCAATTAACGTATGAAAAACAGCTAAAAACATCATAGCGTGATGAAAAGTGTATTTTGTTTCATAAGCCATGAGAGGAAACATTCATTTTGATAGCAGTTAAGTTTTTTTTTTGTTTTAGCGAATTTCCCATATAGGGAATAAGCTATTACCGTAGTACTCATGGTAAGACCTGGACGCGGGACCGATTTTTTTTTTCGATTTGAGGTCCCTAGAGGCCAAAAACACCATCCGTTCAAATTCATATATATATATATATTTATATATTTATATATTTATATATTTATATATATATATATATATGTGTCCGTCAGCACGATAACTCGAGCAAAAATGATCCGATTTTGATGAAATTTGGTACAAACGTGTAAAAGTACGTTTATTCGAACGAGTTCGCGATTCAGCATGATCGGACCATGGGAACGGGGGTTTACGGGGGGTTTTATGGGGTAAAAATAGGTTTTTCCCATTTTTGACCCAAAAAACATAAAATTTAGCAATTTCTTTCCAAACCATTTTGTAGAGCTTAAAAAAACAAATAATTTAGTATATTGAAGCGTTACTATGCGCCTAATGGCTACGGAGAAAATTCAAAAAAATTGTAAATTTAAAATTCCCATGTTATTCTTATGGAGAATAAGTAAACTGTTGTAGTTTGCTTGTTTGTGAACATATTTTGATCAAATTTGGAAAATGTTTTTATTTCTTACTAACTATTCACATTTTACAAAAAAAAAACAGTTTTACCCTCCCTGATGCAGCAAACCTAAGTACTTGTTAAACTAATTCGATTTAAATCAAGAATAAATGTTATATTTTTAAGTAGACATTTCAGTGTAAATCCAATCAGTCAAATGGAAATTCGCTTAGTCTGCAGGTTTGCTGCGGCGGGGGTATTTTTTTACATTTAAGTTGTGTAATAGAACTTACACAACAGAGCAGTGTGTAGGTTACAATATAGGTCACATGCACACAATCTTTGAAACAGGTGTGCTCTGCTACTTTGGGGAACTCAACACTTCGCCAAACTGTGAGTTGTTGAATGTTTCATCTTTATTCTTTTTTTTAATGTGTTTCAGCGCTGAAGTACTAGTGAGTTATTCTATTCAAAGCATAGATTACACCAAGTGTAGAACTTTATTAATAGCAAAACCCAAATTCTTAGTAGAATTTATGTATTTCCAAAAACATTGTGTAAAGAGATAGGAGAATGAGGTGTACATCTTTTTCTAATGAAATATACAACTTTATTTCAATGATCACACAATGCGTTCAGTATATTATGAGACAAACAAAATTAAACGAACACAAATGTATAAATAATGACAGCCAGAGGCCGTCGTCAAGGACTACTAAAACTTTCAATTTCCACAACCATTGGAAGTGCTATCTTGTATAGGCCTAAACATGTTATCATAATAAAGTGTTGCAAATATTCCTGATCAGGAGGTTCTACTGCTGACAATTCACAAAATAAATATACACAGACACATTTTTGATCTCGTAAGGCAGATTGCCAACTCCACCAACCTTTCCAAGGCACCCTCGATTCCCACTTTTCATTTACACGGTCCGATCATTTTGTACTGCGATAAAAGAACATTTAGAATTTTCCAAAAGGGAGCACCATTCACGTCCGGAAAAAAATTGTACAGTAAAAATATTCAACAAGATAGAAATGAACTAACAACACCGTCTATTTACAAAACCGTTATAAAAATCTATCTGTCAGAGAAAAGGATGGAAATGAGTCAAAAGTGGAAACGCTATGTTTATGTATGCGGGTGCAAAAATGGAATGTAAAAAAGACGAACGCTTGACATTTTACAGTGTAAAAGCTTAAAATTAATTAGTAAAATCATACAAGAACTCATACGTTCATTCGCTCTCCCTAAAATTAAACTAGCCTAGTTTGGTGCGGACGAGGCCAAACCGATGACTATATCTGTTAACATCTGGCGCTCAGGTAGCCGTTGAAAAGGCACGTTGTTTGACAATTGAGCTGTCAAACACGACATAGACTACCACCGGACGCCCATCCTCGGTCAGCCCCGTCCGAGACTTCTCCGTCGCCGCAACCGTTGGCTAAATCATTGAATTGTCTTTTAAACATAACCTATCCGAGCACATCCTGAATTACGTTGTTGAACATCCAGACATCCCTATCTCTTTGAAAACACAAGTCTCATTGATTTACAGATAAGTACATAATTTATAACAAAAAACTCATTCACAGAATCAGTCATCAAAGAATGTAAGTTACTTGATACGTATTTAATGCTATGTACAAAGTATAGTGACAAATAAACCTAACCTAACTTGACAGAGCCGCATGTCAACTAATCATAAACTTTAACACAATTTAATAGCCACCAGGATAATTCAAATGGGATGTTAACACTTATTATATAATGAGCTAGCATAACCAAAACAGATTAAACTTTCTCTTTCGCTCTGCGTATATAATGTAAAACGAGCAAAAAATAAAACTTAAAAACAGCCAAATAAATGAAAATAGCTTTTTACAAAAGAGTAAGAGAGGGGGAAGTCCGGATGACTAACAACATTTCCTTTGTTCGAAATCGGCTAAGCGGCGTCGGTGACGGAATCAGCCCCATTCACCGAGTACTTCTAAATGTAAAAAACAAAATGAGATTTAAATGTGGCGATGGCCGGGTCACTGGAGCTCAACGCGTAGTTTCTTGGCGGGCGGCTCTGGCTCTGGCAGACTGCAACTGTCCTGGTCGGAGGTCTCGGGATACGAGGTGGTCGTGGTGTCGTCTGCCACGTCAGCCTTGGTGGTGTCTCCGTTTTGCTCTAAACTACTCTCATCTGAGCACTCCAGTCCGTCCTGCAACAAGTGATAACAGAATACAAACTAACCTTCGCATCGCGTCAACAATAATCAGTGAGCCAATTGTTCAATGGAACATTTTTAAGTAGCTATAGTAAAAACTAGATGGATCAGAATATGTTCAATTTGACAGATTTTGCCTGATGATGTATAGACTTTAATTAAAATAATCCATGTTATAATGCTGTAACAAAAACCTTTTCTTAGTTAAGTGATATCTTGAAATGGTCTTCGAACTACTGGTAGTAATAAGAGGGGACCTGTCCTGTCTAGAAATTATACATATGTATAGACTGGGAACCGCAATGTACCGAGTTAGATTAAGGAACTGTGACGCTATTTATTGTATTGCTGTACATGAAACAAATAAAGAAGTTTTGAATTTGAACGTACAATTTGTTTATCAATTTTAAAAACAAGCTCCTACGAATCTTTTCTTATGGTTGAAAAAATATTAGGGATAATTCTCCTCTGTATTATTTAACACAACTCTAACCATAACTACCCAAGGAAACTAAATCATTTGAAAGAATAATACCCCCGCCGCAGCAAAACTGCCGTCTAAGCGAATTTCCATTTGGCCGAATTGATTTTCAATTGATCTATTTAAATAACATTAGGTTTAACGAGTACCTAGGTTTGCTGCTACAAGGAAACTAATAAAGTAGTGTGTTTTTAGTAAAATATTGATAGCTTACTATAAAATAAATAAATTTGCCAAGTTTGATCAAAATATATCCATAAACAAACAAACTACAACATTTTACAATATTCTCCATAAGAATAACATGGGAATTTTAAATTTACCATTTTTTTAGTTTTCTCCGTAACCAATAACCGTACAAAAACACTTTGATATACTGAATTGTTTGTTTTTTTAAGCTCTTTAAGAAGGTTTAGAGAAAAATTGGGAAATTTTGTGTTTTGAGGGTAAAAAGTGAGAAAAACCAATTTTTACCCCATAAAACCCCCCATAAAACCCTGTTCCCATGGACCGATCATGCTGGATCGCGAACTCATTCAAGTTTATCCTGCCTTACACCTTCAAACCAAATTTCATCAAAATCGGATAAAAATTACTCAAGTTATCGTGTTCACGGACACATATATATATATAAATCTATATATATATATATATCTATATATATATATATACATATATAAAAATTTGAACGAATGGTATTTTTGGCCTCTGGGGACATTAAAATGAAAAAGTAAATCGGTCTCGGGCCTAAGTCTTACCATGAGACCTACGGTAATAGCTACTTCCCTATAGAGAAATTCGCTAATAGATAGGCTAACAAATTAAATTACATAATTGATAACTATATCAGGTAAATCAGATGAGGAATGAGTGCTTGATTGTGTCCATGTGTAGTATACTCACAGTGGTAGTCTCGTCTGCAGGGATGGTCACAGGGGACTGACTGTCGCCGTTCTGATGGTCTGCCGTGGTGCCGTTGGGCATGCCTTCCAGTAACTCCGGCTTGAGCTCACTGGCCACGTAGTGGGTCCACAGCGCCAGCTCCACACGGTGCGCCGACCACCACCCGTTGGCAGCTGCATTCATATTACAGTTATTTTAGCATGGATGCTTACGTTTTCCAGTATATAATGTAATGATAGAAGGCCTCCTTAAATAATTAATTGTTTTTTTCACGTGAAATTAGGTTGAGTAACACCTAAAATCATTCTAAAAGTACTTAAAAATTATTTGAAAATAGTTTCTAGACTTGTAAATAATACAGTAGCTCTTTAATAATCTAAACTCCAATCAACCAGATTGCAAAATATTCTGAACACTTAAAAAAAGAGAAATAAAAATCAAATTAGCCAGAAAATTTAGTACACTGCAGTTCCTTGCAGTTTACGGTAATCCAATACATATTTGTGTATGTGTCAATTGGGTCCATTATACCATAAGTTAAATAATGTCGTATCATATAGATCAGTAAGTGACGAAGCATTTGCCACTGTCCTTCATGAGGTTTGATATTGCATCGGACACCCTGCTAGTCAGTAACCACCTTTCAAAAAGTTGCTTAAAACTATCTTTTTATTTGTTTTAAATAACTTTTTTTTACTGATTATCCATATTTTTAAATATCTGGATGGGATCTGGTCCTAATTGGTCCGGATAGTTTGAATTCTTAAGTATTAAATAAATTTATTATGTTAATTTAAGATTAACATTATGCTGTTAACAAATATTACCCTACAGTGCCAAGTTTAATTTAATTCATTACAAAAGTCCTACAACTACTACAGAATTAATGTTGCTCAACAAATATACATCAATCCATTATCAGTCATAGTACTTACTCTCTTTATTAAGTCTGTCGGCCGTATTCTGTATGTGAGTGACAAAGTTGAGGTACTCCTTGGTCGTGTAATCAATTCCTTCAATGTCTGGGATGGCCATGAGGCACTCGTCAGCCATGAAAGGTGCTGTTTCTGGGGCGGCCGCTGCTAGTAGAGCTGTAGCACATTCCCTCTTATATACTTGCAAACAAAATCTAAACTAACATTGCCATTGATAAAAAAAAAATTGTGCAAATCTCCTTCAGATATTCTAGTAGAACCTCTATAAACAACTCTCGAGACCAGGAGGGTTGAGCGTTAAGCGATGGAGAACAGAAATCCTGTTATAAACCTGTACAGTAAATTGATTTAAAAGGGTTTTTAAGATTAAACCCTATACAAGTAATTAAAACATAATTATATTTAAATTACTTACATACAAAAATAATACAGAACTAACTTTTTTTATGTTATAATTATTTAATGTTCGAACAGTGTGTTCACATTTAAAAATAATTTAAATACTGTATCAGGGGGACGGTTAAGTGGGTTCACGGTCAATAAAAGTTCTACTGTATTATCTTGCAGGGTGTCCAGCATCCAATCCAAATAAATTTCAAGGATGGTTTTCCAGGTTCCAAATTCAAAATTTCCAGCAGGAAACTTGCCGCTCCAAATTAGCCTAACATACTTCTTTACACCAGCTAGTACATTAAAACCCTTCAAAAAATTTGAAAACATTTTCTCTTGATCGTAGCCACATCAGTGATTATGTATTTTGATGGTGGCAACATCTGTGATGATTTCCCCCAATCGCGGAAAAATCTGTGCATCCAGCGATTTTGTTTGGAAACCATATCTGAGATCCATCTTACAATGGCGGCAACATTTGTGATGCCAGAATTGCAGCAACATTGATTATCTTGACACCCGTGACTATTTTTTGCAATGGAGGCCATATCTGTGATCATCTATAATTGCAGCAAAATTCGTTATGATTTGCAGCAACGGCCGTGATCATATCTTGCGATTGCCGCTAAGTCCATCGTTTGTGTTAGTTTCGTTCCCACAATCGCGATTTTCAACTATCGAAAAACAGAAAAATCAGTGATTTCAGGTAGATTTTTTGGATATAATTTAAATTTCCCGGTTCATTACAAAATACACGTACAATTCATGGTTTTTTTCCCAGTCATTAAAATTTACATGAAATTCCCAGTTTGACAGCCTGTTGTTCTCCTTAACTAATTGTATGAATGTTAGCATAGTTTTAGCCAGTAGGAATTTAATTTCTTTGTTCTTAATTTAATTTAGTAATTTAATTTCTAAAAAAACTTTGTTATTGGCAGAATGTGAGGTGAAATCATAATTGGCAATCCTTACCAGTGGCGTAGCAAGGTGTTTTTGCACCCAACAGAGACTTTGTCGTCTACTAAGATGTCATGAATATCCAGCTATTGCAGATCGGGAGATTGAGGGCTCCCCCGATTGTAACATCGTATATTTTCAGTTGCACAATATTCACAGACACTTTTTACAATCACGGTATTATTGATTTATCTGACTTGGTATCGAGCTGCTTGCAAGCACTTTTACTCTCATTACACCTCAATCCTGATGAACTTGTACAATTTCAACTATGGCTAGAACCCAGGACAATTCCTTCCCTTGCTACATCACTAGTCCCTCCTTGAATATATCTGTGCCAGTTCAACTAGTCTCGGAAGACTCCCTCGATTTAATTTTCTCTTTGTTCAGAAGGTGACGGACGGATATAACCTCATAATGGTAGTAGATGTAGCAAACTGGATATTTCTTCTGATTCTGTACACAGATTAGTTGGTGTTTTTACAGTAACCATATGTTTTGGAAGTAACAGCCACTAAGAAACTATTTTTCCGAAGTCTACAGAAATGCTGGTGATCATCAACAAACACGTACATTATTTAAAGTACAGTAAATATATTTTTACCCCATTAATAACATTACAATTTTCCATATACTTTTTGAAAAATAAAATATTGTCCAATAAACAGCGTAGCCACTTTTTATTCTTAATTTAACAGCAGACGGTATATTTGTAATGACGAGTAGCGGAAATCTCCGCTTTTTTAGAGTACAATAAACCTACCTGGCACTAAGTCATTTACTATGTTTATTTGAAGGGAAAACTCATAAACAGACATTGCAATCGATTGCCTGTCCGGTGAGGGAATGGACCTACCTGAGGCCATGGTGGTGCCGACCCCCTTGAGGTTGCTAAGAGCCGTGATGGCTTGCTCCAGGTTGGGCAGCTTGCGGAACGCCTTCTTGGTCTCAGCCATTACAGCCCTTGGGGTGTTGACCTTCACCAGGTAGTTGAGTTGAGGATAGAACTTGCCTCGCTGCAACCACACAACAGTATATGAGAGGGGTCTGCTGCCACGTTACCTAGCTGAAGCTCAAATCCAAACAGCGAAATATATAATAATATAACCTAGTAACCTAGTGCTTAGGCTCCTGGTTTCTATTGTTTGAAAGGTATTATTGTTCAGTCCTCGTCAAAAACAATCTGCAGTATTTCTTATTTATTTATACTGGGTAAGACCAAGATATGTGACACAGATTAGGTCAACCTGGTGATTTAACTCAACTTTTTTTCAAAGAGGTTGGCACCTTTTAACCTTCATTCACCCGTCCACATAGACTAACTGCCCATGCGTGGAACGTATCCAGCAAAGCAAGGGGTGAGCCAGAACAGTACGAAGGTGAACTGTACTGATAAAATGTTTGCGGCAGTGACCAGGATCCGAATACACAACATCGCTGTCTTGGGCCCGAAGTGCAAGAGCTACCGACTGAACCACCGACTCACAAAATTGTAGAACAGCAACAGTTAGTGTCATGATCATGTCACTAACTAAACATAATATGTTATCGCAATCTTACAATTTATTGAATTGAGTTGCTTCAAGGACGCAAAAGAAAAATTTTTGGTTAGTTTTTTGTAAATTTTTCTAATATATCGTTTGTAGCCTAATTATCTTACATCAGAAGAGTAAAATTAATCAAAAATTATTATTTAGTTTCAATCAATTTAATGATAACAAATAATATTTTGTCTATTAATGATGTACTGTCATACTGTAAATAAATAAAACAGGCATTAAAACCAATAGGTTGTACTGCTAAATAAGAAGTTATATAGCAGTTAAAATGAACAGTATCTTGAAATTGGTTTAATAGATTTACAGTTTAAACTAGATCGAAGAGTATAACAAATAAATATTGAATGTGCAAGTGCTGTAGTCATAGGTTGAACATTATAGCAACATTAATGTACAAAGTTATCAGAATATGGTCATTGGTGTCCATCAATGACCAAAAAGGGGGCCCAACCCCCCTCCCCACCTATGAGACCCTATGTTAACAAAATGTTTACCAATTTTAAACACTATGCAAATAAATGAATTAACAATACAAAACAAATTTCAAATTTAGTAACAAACCCTTTTTACTAGGGTTTATCATTACCCTCCAGCCCTCTGTATGGAACAGTTAGATTGACAGCCATGAATATGGTACAGTGCACAAATATTCAGCTCGGCAAATATGTTTTACTCTAGCAATGAGTAAAATTTGACAATAAGAATAGCATGGCAAGTTGAACCAGAAGAATGTGTCCACAATGACACTGATTCGGATGGAATGACAAAGTGGTTGAGGAAACTTTGAGAATCTGGCATGATACAGAATAGAAACATTGGTACCCATAGAGAGGTTTTGTTAAAAAAAAAGATTTGAATGTCCGAACGCCACATGATGATGTGATTGGTCAGTAACTCACCGTTTGCTTCCATTTCATCAGCTGCACCAACTCCTCATGGATAAGGTGGGCGTCTTTACCTCTCGACTTTATCTTTTTGGGTAATTCATTTTGGTACCTGGAACAAACAAGTTGGTTAGATGACATAATCTCAAGGTGTTACCACAATTCACATCAACCATTCATCAATAGCCTCCTGGAAAGTGTTAATTTAATATATTTCATTTGCCTACTTATTGAAGCTAGAATCAGGACTAAAAATCTTAGATTTGGTCAAACTTCTAAATACATTATAACGATTTTAGTTAATAGTACTGAACAAGTTTTGATTCAATGAAAACATATTCAAAAAAACACTAATTTTGAATATTTTTAACTTGAAATAAATTACATAGAATCCAAGAGAAAAACTTTGTACTATTAGCTACCAACGATAGACTAATGGTAACTGGATAATTTTTAAAAAGATACTGAATTTTTTGTTGTATGGACGTTTTATTTAGTAATACTCAATCCCCCATCAAAGGAAATTTACACTCTTGTCCTCCCACACAAATAACTTTCTTGTCAAATTTGAATTTCTTCATGTTTAAAAACAAAATATGTATCTGTGATTTAATTTGAAATTACTTTAGATTATAAATGTTCTGCTTGAGGCAAAATAGGACAAGTGGAAGGTAATATGAGAAATCAATATCAAATCATTAATAGTCACCACTAAAAAATTACTAAGTGATTGTAATCAAAAATACAAAAAAAAAATAATTTGGTTCGTATTGTGTAACCTTTCCATTGGTTTTGACTCTCAGAATTTTTTTTAATAAGTTGGGGTTTTTAAAATTCAATTCTAGTAAAATTAAAAACATGAAATGAAAGAATACTTTTAATCTAAATCAATATTCTTAACAATCAAATTAAATTTTACGTTGGTTCTCTGTTAATCTTTACAGCATTTCAATATTTTATTAGAATCCAAAAGTATCACCATAGATAACATACTAGTATGTTTTATCTATGGTAGCATTCATTAGTGCATGGAATAAAAAAAAGCTGAGACTCATATTTTTCCAACACGGTCAATAGAGAATTGGGTTATCCAAGAAACAACAATGACGCTGGAATACCGACAGAATACCGCAAGCTACAAAGTCATGCAAATGTGGAACAGCTGACCAAACAGCTGATTCGACGAAGTGAGGTAATCCCAATCCAAACCAACCAACTGTTTAGTGTTTTGTGACAGCAGCACGAATCAGCTGTTCACAATAGATTCAGCTGCCTACAACAGGCTAATTACGGTTGCTGATAGGAAATTTAATCCAACAAACATTCAAGGGAAATAGATGACAAAATAAAATAATGCCATTTCCATCGTAAAAACTTGATTTTTGTAAGGTTACAAGGAAATAAGTTTTCTTGAGTCCATCAATACGAAAACTTCATTAGGCTTCGTTTCGCAAAATGTCAACGAAATAGAAAGAAAGGATATCTACAAAATTGCACAATATAATCAAAGTATGAGATGTCATTACTGTATTTTAGAATTTTCAATTTAAAACAAACCCCTCCAAGATTGTTTCCACACGTAGGCCTATTATCCTCAGTCAGACTCATTCTCCAGAACGTATTATTCCAGCGGCATTTCCAGCCTTGCTTCCAAGGTCAACTTCCTAGCGTAGCGACAGAGCCGCAGCCGGCCTTCGTTCAACTCCGGATACACCTGAGGCCGCTTCGGGTATCCCCGGCGCTGCCCGAGTTGGACCGAACGTTGCCGAGGTGGCTTGGCCCGACCGGTTTAGATGTAGAAATCGATATACGCTGTACGGGCTGCCGACGCATCGCGCCAGACGATGAAACTTTTATATTCTCTGCCTTCATGGCTTCATGTTGCAAATTCAATCTTCAGAGGGGCTCTCAGTCTCTGTTTGGATTGAAAATAGTAAAAATACAGTAGTTAAATAAATATGGACACTGCTGAGATAGAGGACACATTTTTCAACCAACCCACAGAACTGTGTGGTTTTAGACAGCTTCTACTGAGGCAAACTTTATCGAATTCCGTTGGTTGTGGTGTTCATTTATTATTAATAGTGGTTATAAAGAGGTAATAATAAAAATGTTATATTAACTGAAGGGTTAACGTAATTATTCACCAACAGTACAATTTATACACCATATGTTACCTGTTTCAGTCTACCATCAAAGGTAGAGTATTGTACACTTAAGTTAAAGAAAAGTGACGTATTTAGCATTGACTATTAGATACTGAAGTAGACTTCCCATCTATATGGACCAGCTGTAACCAATTTTTTTATTAAAAAAAGAATGTAGTTGTGTGAGCCGGTCACAGAATGCGCTACAGTCCAAAATTATATTGTATACCTTATTTTTTGTTGCTGACCAGGTTGATGGGTCATAACAGTTGCTATAACTCATTAGCCTACTTGAGTTCAATCATAATAATTCATACGGTATTTCGGTGTCAAAATCGAATCTAATTTAATTGTTTAAATTATAAATTGTAGTGTTCTGTTGGTCTTAGTAAAAGTATAAGTATATTATACATGACACTTAAACCCCCCACATATAAAGACTCCACAGACAAGCAGAAGGGATAAATTTATTCCTCCGAGATTTGACCTGGCCCAGCCGGGCCAGAAATACTCGCGAATTCTGTGACTACGAAGCAGTGCGAATTCGGAAACAAGCGAAGCTTCAAACTCTTCAGCGCAAATTTCAGAAGTAGTTTGTGTATTTTATTCCAAAACATGTGTTAAATTTAGTGTTTGGGTTTAAAATCAAAACACTTTTTCTCAATATTTTTTATACATCTTAAAATCGCCCAGCATCCAACGCGCATTTTCGAGGAGCACATGCAGTGGGTGGAAAATAACAATGGTACTTTCAGAAAGAAATACTGATACATGACTACAAAAAAATAATTATAAAACACCCGCATTAAATAAGCGAAGTCGTTGTAAATTACTAATTTACGACAAAACAAAACGGGTAATTGTAGTACTAAGCCCTTCAAGCTGATCACACAAAAGAAGACAGTTCACCCTCACCCACACAAATAGCAGTTTAACAATGAAATAAAAAAGCACGATAATCAGAATAGATAGAGCGCCATTCTGTAAAAATTACCCTATGAAAGAGACACAAAAATACAGGCATAAAGGAAACAATAGAAGTTTTTATCGCAAGTTGGAGGGGAGCGAGGGGAGTCTAGGGTTAGGGCTGCAGGGGCGTTTCTAGCCTCCCTTCGCTGCCGCCAAAAATATGTTGCGCACCTGTCCTTTCCTTCTAGCCTGGTATACCAACCATAATCACTATGATCAACACAGATTTATTATCTCCGAGTATTTCAAAAACTGTAATAAATTTACACGGCTTGAGTTTCTATATCAGCGTGATTTGGACTGTTTCAGATTTTTATGAACTGAAATTGGACGAAACAACTAAGTTCCAGTTTAAATTTCGCGAATTTGGTAGTGTCACAGAAAACATGTGGTACTGCTTATGTGTATTACCATAGATTAAACATACGGGTATTTATACAAGGTCCAACAAAAAAATATGCCCTCAAGATATAAAATAACGGCGGCGGCGTTTACTAATACAATTTCAATGATCCTAAATTGACACAGCGACAACTACGGACAGTGAAACTGTTACCTCCTGTCCATTCTGTCCCTTTAATATAACAATCATTGACACAGTCATTATCAAGTTCACATATATCTACAAACCTTTTCAAAACGTGAGATATTAGTAGGGGACAGGAGTCGACAGGAGAGCTGAAGTCCAAAAAGACAGGTTGAGCGGTTGAGGGTAAGATCGAGATTGGGTTTGGGACTTTGGACCACAATACTCCAAACCATTTCATTTTAACTCCACGAGTGAAAAAATGTTCTGTGACGACTAGTTCTGTCGGAAGCACTACAAGTGTGTTGTGTGCCATTCTTTGAGATTCCTATATTACAATATGCTACGGCATAATTCAGTCGTTCTTACACAGAAAGCATTCAATTCATCATGAGACAAATCTAGGTTCGTGAGTATAAGCCGGCCGCAAGAGAAAAGGGGGCGGCGAAGAGAAAAGGGGATCTCTCTCTCTCTCTCCGAAACTGACCGACACCACACCGCATGTGAGATGTTGAACTACTTGGAAATGTGCAACAGATTGCTCTCCCCTCCCCTCCCACCTCCGAACAGCTGTTTGGAGTAAACAATCTATTGATGTGACATACTCCCCCGCCCCCGCCCTGTTCACAGTCACTATCCGATCAGCTGATCTTCCCGCCAAGAGGTCGCAGCGTCGTCTGTAGTCCAAAATGACATAACCTCAATCAACAGTTCATGACATAAATAATGCAGACGACACATGGAAGGTTGCGAGGCTAAAAGGGTTTCTCAAAGAACTGCAAACGAAGGCGGTAATATCAATGCGTCCATTAAAATGGTTCTTTTTCAAAAATATAGTCAGTGGAAATAACTGCAACAGCTTTAATACTTGAGCTTTCCAATCTTAAAGTGCCCTTGGTAAAATGTCTTTAATATTCAAGAATAAAAACATGAAAGCGTATTTTTGTAAATAGGTACATTTACAAGTAGGTACTGTATACAAATCCAAATTCTAATACTATATTTCATATTTCTTCTCTAATTCCTCAACTCTTTGTGGAACAGTGAAAGTTCAAAATGTAAGGAACAGATACAAGTTTACTGGAAGAGACTGAGTCATATGATTCTACAGTTGAGTTGAGTCCGTTGAGTCATGTTATGTTGGGGCAGCACTCTGACTCAGCATTGGGTAACAACCAGCAAAAAGAGGACATCTAGCACACCTACTCACTTCTCATGGTTCTTGTTTCACCACTAGTAAAACTGAGAAGGAATCTTAAAAAGTTATATAGAAGAAAAATGTCTTGGTCTGTGGGTTTTAAGTAGGTTATTACTATTTTGCACACTGGATGTAAAATTATTATAAGATTATATCTACTATACTAAGAATTGTACATTTTTATAATCCCCTAAGTTTTTTCAACCTACAAAAACAACCTTAAAAATTAAAATTAATACTCAACCGACAAAACATTAAACAAAAATATGTTT